GATACTCATGTGGCTGGCTGCACTGGCATACTCGCGGGATGCGGACCTTAAGCTCCTTCAAGTGCTTGTGTTGTGCGTCAGGACTACTGGCGCATTGGTTGTCGAAGTGTCAGACGTCTCCAGCTTCGATGCTCAGCTCGGCACTACTGTTGATCGACTCGCCCTCGAGAATGCCGCCAACACGCATCTCAAGATACTCTGGGACTGCCCAGAAGCGCAGCTTCCGAGGGAGGCCTACGAAACGACAGACGAGTATGAGGTGAGGCAGCACAAGATCTGGATAGATGCACGAACACTAGCTGCGGCAAAGCTCGTCAACATCACGAAAGCCATTTGGCCAATGTCGTTCACGCTCCCGGACTCTGCTCATGCGCTCGAGTCTCATATCGATATCGACCTTGTTAGCATTGACCTCAAACGCCTCTTCGAGCAATGGCATAGTAATCTCAAAGCCTGGGGTTACCTGGGTCAAATCAGCAAGCAGATCACAGCACTGCGTCCATGTCCTACATTCGACTTACCCAAGCTTGAGCTTATAGCATCACCACGTTCTCGCTACTCAGAGTCCATGGTTATGCTCACTGACCAGCACATGTTTACAATGAGAGACAATTTTGATTATGGGCGCGGATTGGAGATGGCCACGGCATTGCCCAAGCTACACTTATCGGGTACCATGCAGCATGATAAGGGCCAGCTTCAGACGAAGAAGACGATGCCCGTGGACCCTGACCAGGAGCATCAGACAAGCCTGTCTACTGGTACTTTCGAACCGGCGACCTCTCACTCGTCCCGCCGACTTGCCCGCTTGCTGGCGAGTATGGAAGGATGCCCTAACGCTGGCTTGGAAAAGAGCTACATTGCAGATCTTCATGCCAGTGTGGCAGCCTTGTCGACTTTACAGCAGAATCGCAGCACACTGCTGGTCACATCCCGTGAGCTGCAACAGCATCTAGTGGAATGCTCACAACATTTCGATCACTGTTATAAGATGTTGGTCTCGTGCGTGTATCTTCCAGAACATGGCACGGCGATCTTTGCCATGCAGCATGGAATACGACTATCAGCCGCTCTATTCCTCAGCATGCTCACAAAGACGAGATGGACCAGTCTAGGGCAAGAATGGAAAAAGATGCTGGTTTCGTTCGGTCTTGCAATCACCACGCTACAGCGCGCGAAAAGGTTGCTGAGGTTATACGATTGTGGCGAGTCTCTGAACATAGAGCTTGCGAATCCTGGTCATACCAATTGGGACCCGATGGAAAGTCCGGAAGCCCTACTGATCGAGATCGAGAACGACATACTGATACGCGAAGTGCAGACCAGCATCGCGAAACAGATGTTACAGCCGACCAGTGAGCTGAACACAACAGTACAGTTGAATATGGGCCAAGGAAAATCCACCATCATCATACCAATTGTTGCCATCGATGTTGCCAATGGCTTGCAGCTTGCTCGAGTCATTGCGGGCAAGCCACAGTCCAAGCAGATGGCCCATATGCTGAGGTCTAAGCTTGGAGGGTTGATTGATCGGAGGGTGTACTTCATGCCGTTCTCTCGCTCCCTACAGCTCGACAGTAGAGCAATACGAGCTGTGCAGAGCATGATCGACGAGTGCAGAGCTACTGGCGGCGTCATGCTTCTTCAGCCGGAGCATATACTTTCCTTCCAGTTGATGGCACCTGAAAGTCATCTCAATGACAATCACGAAGTTGGTCAGCTGCTGTCTGGAGTGCAAGACTGTTTCGATAATCGTTCTCGAGACACTGTGGACGAGTGCGATGAGAACTTCAGCGTCAAGTTCGAGCTGATCTATTCCATTGGCGATCAGAAGCTTGTTGATGGAGGCGTGCGCCGTTGGAATCTGATACAAGCTGTGCTGAAGCTTGTGCAAGACTTCTGCCTGACCATGGCTAAGGACTTGCCAGACGACATCGAAGTCAGGCAAGGCCCACGTGGCTCCTTCCCTCGAACTCGCTTACTCTCGGACTCTGCTGCTGCAAAGCTGATCGAATTGCTTGGAGAGCACATCTGCTATCACGATCGCGAGCTGCTCTCGATCTCAAAGCAACCGATGCCTATTAAGAAGGTCGTGTCTGACTTCTTGACAAAGAGCGAACTCGCAGGCGAAGACATTGAGGCTGTAGAGCAGAGCGACTTCTGGACAGAGTCAACGATGCATGACCTGCTGCTTCTGCGAGGTCTGCTTGCAAGAGGATTGCTATCATTTGTGTTCAGTTCCAAGCGTTGGCGAGTGCAATATGGCACTGCTTGTCGTTCACCTCCGACAAGGCTGGCTGTTCCATACTGTGCAAAGGACTGTCCGTCGCCCAGGTCGGAGTTCAGCCATCCGGATGTGATCATCCTGCTGACTACGCTATCCTACTACTACGAAGGACTGTGTGATAACGACATGTTCGACACATTTCGGCATCTTGTCAAGTCAGACGGAGCGAATGCCGAGTACAGCATGTGGGTCAAGGATGCTGACGCTCTTCCAGAAGAGTTTCATGAGCTACAAGGCATCAACCTAAAGGACAAACCACAGTGCCTTGCTCGAATTTTCCCGGCTCTGCGATATAACAAGTGCACAATCGACTATTTCCTAGGCAAGCTCGTCTTTCCCAGGGAGATGAAAGAGTTCCCCTATAAGCTTTCAGCGTCAGGTTGGGACCTTGCCAAGCCAAAAAGCTGTCTCACAACAGGCTTCTCGGGTACCAATGACTCTCGGCACCTCCTACCAAATATGATACAGCATGCTGACCTTGATGAGACAAGACATACCGCGGCACTTGTACTGGATCATCTCCTGCAGCCAGAGAACACAACTTACTTGATGGCCAACCCTGTTCACAAGACGGATGCAGAGCATCTGATTGCCACTGTCCTGTCTCTGCAGCCTCCTGTCCATGTCATCTTGGATGTTGGAGCTCTTATCATCGAATGGACGAGCTTAGATCTAGCTAAAGCTTGGCTAAAAGCATATGGGGACAAAGAAGCTGTTGTCTTCGTCAATGAGGATGACGATCTGAGTATCGTTGATCGCCTTGGTCATGTCTCTTCGTTCGAGGCCTCTCCCTTTGCGACGAGACTCTCTGAATGTCTCATCTACCTTGACGAAGCACATACTCGAGGCATAGATCTGAAGCTACCGCTGAATTACCGAGCTGCAGTGACGCTCGGAGCTCACTTGACCAAAGATCGCCTCGTACAAGCTTGTATGCGCATGAGACAATTAGGTGAAGGGCAGACGGTGGTCTTCTGCATTCCCGAGGAGATACAGCGCAAGATCCGGGAGGTCACATCGATGAGCGAAATCGATGTGCAGAGCGTTCTAATCTGGGCGATGTCAGAGTCCTGCAACGAGTACCGTCGTCACCGGCCCCTATGGGCAACACAGGGAGAACGATACTACAAGCAAGAGATCGAGTGGGCGAACAGTCGAAAGGATGGCGTGACCTCGCTGAACGAAGAACTGTCCAAGGCGTTCCTTGAGCCGGAAGCTCAGACAATCGCTGACCGGTATCAGCCAACTGCACGGCCTCGATCTCTCTTGCAGCGCTTGGAGAGGAGCCCGAATCCCAAGATTCGCCAGATTGCATTTAAGTGTCAAGACGTTGAGAATCACTACTTCAGCCTGACATCGCTGCAAGAAGAACAAGAACGAGAGCTTGCACCAGAACACGAGCAGGAGGTACAGATACAACGACCACCGCGCGTGGAGGCAATACAGCGCGCCCTGTCCGAGCTCGTCAGACAATTTGCAATGACTGGTGTTTTACAAACCCGTCATAAGCAATTCGCCAATGCTTTCTCACCGGCCTTCACTGCCCTTCAACGAACCAGCAAAGGATCTAAGTTTCATGTGTCGAATTTGAATGACAACCACCTCTGGGTCACGCAGGACTTCGCTAACACAGTCAAGTTGGCAGCATGCTCACACACGGATATGTTCGAGAGAAGCGTGCAATGGATTCTCACAAGCTGTGCCGATAACAGTAACCTAGTGCAGGATGCCGTGATTATCAGTCCATTCGAAGCCAACCAGCTCTATGACATCGTGAAGCGCTCAACAGTTACGACGATGCACGTCTTCAGACCGCGCTGCAACATTGGTCATCCGTCCATCGACGACTTGACCTTCTGCAACATCACAGCTAGAGCTACACCTGCTGTCATGCCTCGTAAGCTTGCGCTGCGACTAGCACTCTTTGCTGGACAGTTATACTTCACTTCGTATGACGACTATCGCGAGTTGTGCAGCATGCTGGGTCTCTCAAGTGACCTTGCAACTGGTGGTGCTGATCCTGATGGCTTCATGCGAGACCGCGTCTCTGGACGGTGTGGTGGTCAATCGGGCCTCACAAGCAGTCCTGTACCGTTCCTGAACTTCCTGGTATCAGACATTCGGAGGAATGGTGAGGCTATCACCAAGACGCACATAGGCAGGATCTTACAAGGACATATTCTGTCCGAGGAGGAGTTTCATGTGGTCTGCAAGGACGAAGAGGGCGAGAAGACCTCGTAAGAGACATCTTGTAGTGGGAGCGGGTCAGCTCTATATGACGAATGTTCAAAGACCTGTCAATGTGTGACTTGTCATGATCGCTGACTTCGATGTGCTCGTCAAGCTGTACTGTTGGCCCACGACTGGTAGTTGAGCTCTGTTAGCTGTTGAGTCACACCGGAGAGCGTCGCAAACTTCGACTTTCGTCTGGACTTTATCTGCTGTGTTATGTACCAGCTATCGCATGATTTTGTAGGTACCCTGTGGCCAGTCGACGATTCTTGGGATCCTACATCAGACCTCCGCAGCCAATGGTGTCGCAGTCGCGGTCCGTACGCAAAGAGGAATCTGTGCGCCATCAAGCGGTTTTCGTCCGAACTTTCAGGCAGGGGACCAAAATTAGACTACCACGCATCCTGGCAGACCACGATGGTGATCGAAAAGGTCTCCCAAACATGCGAGACTGTGTTCAATGCCGCTACAGGCAAAAATGTGACCCTGGTGGGATTCGAACCTGATCTTTGAGTCAACACAAAATCCAACCATGAGGCGAAGATTTCTACATACCCACAGCCTTCGGATGGCAGACTCTACTCATAGAAGTCCGATGCGCTAACCATTGCGCCACAGGGCCCTGGGAACCCGCAAAGCAGTATGCCGCAGGATCGGCAAAAGCATTATGTAGTTACAATTTCTGTTATTGCACTCGCCAATCCAGTCAATCCGTTGTACACCTCAACTATCGCTGAACTGAGATGGTGTTGAGGCCGAGTAGTGCTGCAGAGCATTGAAGCTCGGTCGGGAGGAGTAATCACAACGAGCATCACCTCAGAAATCCTGTCGAGAGGAGATGATGCTAGCGCTGAGGCACACAATCGGTGTCTCCATCACGACGCAGAACATTGCAGTCAACGACGGTGCATACAAGCGTTGTATCAGTCGCTGTCGGGCTCGTCCAGTGCTTCGTCCCTGACAGGACCTCGCTCGAGAGGTTCCTCAACTTCCTCGTCCTCTTCCACATCGTCAACGACATCATCTTCAATGTCCTCTTCAGAGTCGTCAGCAGCCTCTTCAGCGTTGAGCTGAGCATCAATGAGTTCGTCATCGTCCGGACCGTCATCTGGACCATCGTATGGACCATCGTCGGATAACAATATAGCGTCGCCTTCAGGACCTTTCTGCTTCTTCTGGGGTCTGTCCTCGTCCATAGCATTGCCATTGGGTTCTGTCGTTGTAGCGGCGGCAGCTTTCTCCTGTTTGACTCGGTGTCGGTAGGAGTTTCGCTTGTCACACTGTGTCTCGTTGTATTCTGCAAGCATTAGACAGGCCAACATCAGACACGCCAACTTACTCTTCAATTCCTGCTCTAGCCTTGGAATAAAGCTTTCCAGTTCGGCATCTTTGATTGATGCCATGACATCTTGTGGCGCTATAGTCTTCTTGCCACCAGCTTGGGCCAGTTCATTTGCACTGGCGTGTTAGCAACGGGTGCAATAAGTCAGATATACTTACTTGCTAGCTATGTAGCTAACGAAGACCGTAGCACTCTTGTGAAGTGCTAAGAGTGCATCTTTGTGTATCTGTGTATTTGCTGGGAGCACTCCTTTAGCCAGTCTTGCGATCATCGACTTCGGCAGGCTGAGGTCCTGATACTTGGTCAGACTTGATTGTGGCACAATGAGCGGACTCACATCTATGCCCACACCGTCTTTTGTTTGCTTTGCAGGAGTGTGATCGATGTTCGTGTCGTCGCCGGCGCCGTTAGACACAAGGCTGGCGGTGCTCTTTCGTGGCGCCATTGCAGGCGACTGTGCTTGCAGACCTGCGCGATCGAAGACAGACAAGCCTCTGTGTCCTTGCTTGTAGGTGTTGAAAGCCGATGATGGTCACGGATCGAGTCGAAGTTCTCACAAGGTTGGTGCTGCGGTCATGAAATTGTGCATGAGCGAAGACGCGTTCCTGTCGCGTGCAAAGTGCTTGCATGCCCGCTTGATGACAACACTACGCAATGAGATTACAAGAGGACGACGATGTTGTTGTTGCAGAAGTATCATATTCCGAGACGGCCCTGACGTGAATTATGTCATTGATGGAATGCGCACAGCTGATCGTGCAATATGATTTCAGTACCTCAGCACAAGAAGATACAGAAAAACGTGAGGAATAGCGCCATGTTGTCGAGCAATCGAAGGCATATGCACTGCCATCAGATCGATTCTCATTATCAGGCTCATCCTAGCTCACTTCCACCCACTGACTCTTCCTTCGTCCCATCGAGCCTTTCTTTCCTTCCGAATGAAAGCCACACGACTAGCATCTTTCACTCTCTTCACCCAGTCATTGATCTCTCGCTCGTTAGCCTGACCAGGCTCATCGATCCAGCTCTCCTCAATGCCTTTCAGGAGTTGCTGCTGCTCCGTAGCACTAGCATTGAGCCTTTGATACTGCGCCATAGGACTAAACGCACGCAGAGCGGCTTCAGTCTCGGTGATCTTCGCGCGATACTGCTGCTCTAAAGCTCGAAGTGCCAGCAGTCTAGATTGTGTGGCCGCACGTTGTGAAGCCAGTCGATCTCCTAATGCCTCGAGTGATGTGGCCAGTTTGACATTGGCTTCGAGTATCGGCACCAACTCTGCTTCCGAGGCGAAGACTGCAGCATGTCCGGTCGCTGGGTTATTGAGCAGTGCTGCTTGCATTGATGGATCCTTCAACACATCGTACAGGTCCTGTGTAGACTTCTCTTTCAGCGACTCAGGTATCCATGATGGTTCTATAGGCGCAGCTTGAGCATGTGCTGGCTCTGCCGGGAGTTCTGATACTCCAAAGCTAGGAGGCGGTGGAAGCGGAGGACCTCGTTCGAAGGATGCGCCTTTCGGCGGCGGCGCAGGAGGCTGATTGTGTTGCGGGTATGCCGGTGACGAGTATGACATTAGTGGATGAGAGTGGCTGCCATCTTGATTCAGTGACGTGGGGCAAAACAAACGCACCTGCAACCTGCACACACTTCCACAACACTCACCGCCCACGACATATATGACATACTGCCGATTGACGACCAGACCTTCCTCTTTCCACCGGACTCTTCATTGAGGACACCCGGCCTGGGCGGCACTTTTGACGATGGGTCGTCGCCCAAATGTTATCGTCGCAGAGTTTTCGAGCGCGGCGCAAAGCTCGAAGACTCTAGTAACAGATACCAGCACACATGTCGCAGATGCGGCGAGCTCGTGAGTGTTCAGAGAGTTGCTGGACGGCCGTACTGATGTAGATAGTTTCCGAAGGGAAGGGTTGATAACCTGATCAACCATATCTTGAAACGATGTCCGCATGCCACTCAAGAAGATCGCGAGTTGATTGTACTTCATATGCAGCAGGCACCAAGCAAGAAAGATGACAAGCCAGTCTCACATCCTGCAGATGCCATGCTTGGGCTGCCAATCACCTTGGACCGAGAGCAGTCTGCGCTCGACACACTGGCGGAAGTCTCGCGGCGTCATCTTGACTATTCCTCTCAACGAGATGCCGCCTTTGAGCAGAACGTGCTACTGCAGGATTCGGACCAGGCTCTCGCTGAGCAGGCACTGTGGGCGCAACTGCAGCAGCACAACATGGAGATGTCAACCCAGCCAGGTAATGAGTACGACCTCCAGATGCCTTTGCAAGAGCCAATACTCGACCAACCCTTCACAGCAGCCGACTTCGCACCAGCAGTGCAACAGACAACGCAGGGCGAACTTACTACAATAGACCCGCAACTCAACATCTCACAATCGTTCGATGGAATGGACCAGCTAATCACAGATGGTGTCCCGCAAGAACAATCACAACCTGTCTGCAGGCCTTTTCGCTGGCCAGCACAGCCCGATGATCCACAAGAGCTCGACAACTCCAGGGCACTTCGCACGAAGCAACGAGGTCGGTTCACAGATGCAAGACGCAAGCAAGTGCAGGAGATTCGCAAGAAAGGCGCCTGCATACGATGCCGGATGCTCAAGAAGCCATGCTCGGAAGGAACACCATGCAACACTTGCGCAAATGTCGATACTGCACGTTTGTGGAAGGGCAAATGTCTGAGAACTCGCCTCGTCGACGAGTTCACCGCCTGGAGTTCCGGCTATTTCTTGGCCGTCAGCAAGCTTCGCACCAACCCGGTAATATCTGAGTTTAATCGTCGTGTCCCTGGTGCTGTTCACATCAGACTGAACTTCGATCAAGGCCCTGGCATGGCGCTCAATGCTAGGATCTTTGCCAATTCAGGCATACAACCTCTACTGATTGTTGATCCTTCACGCACAGCGGCTATGGCACTTATACTCGAGGACAGCGATGGCGTCGCTGATAAGCTCTCGGCGTACTGTATGTCAGTCGATGTGCTCAAGCATGCGGTTGACGCAGAACCGCATGCCTTCATACGCACAACCTTGCACCAAGCCATCGAGCTAGTCAGTCAGGAATCTCAGCAGCAACTCGCCAGTACACTAAAGCTAGATACGAGAGCAGAGACCAGGTCTTGCTACAGCATCATCAGCTCCCTGACTCACGATACCATCGAGCTATGGATGCTCACAACTTGCCTCACGAACTCCTCACGATTTGTGATCCGCTCAACCTTGTCCCCAGATGCAAGCATTAAGCAGCACGACCAAGAGATCATACAGGCGCAGTTGCTTGCTGCAATCGAGGTCAGAGCGTCGCGATTGAGCAAGAAGGTTCTCAACGATATGGAGCGAAGACTTCTCCAACGGCAGCAAGTCAGCGGCTTCGCGACTTTTATCGCAGCCGTCCTCCTTCTGAATAGCGTCGAGCGCATGTCAGCCCTCTATCAGTCGCTAGAGGTTGGCGATACAGTTGAGTGGCCAGTCGAAGCTGTGCCTCGCTCTCTTTGGCTGCAAGGACCGTCATTTGCCAATTTACTAACCATGATCCTGCGCATGCGAGGGTTGCCGCCTCGAACCTACGAGAACGAAGAAGGCAAACTTGCCGTTCAATTCGATGCCCCTGGAAGACTCACAAAGCTCAATGGGTCAGCCTCAGAAGATCAACTACGTGCCTTGGACGAGCAACGACGAACAGCACTATCAGCCTGGCTTTCAGCATGCAACATCAGTGCCGCCGAGGTGAGATCATGGCTTGACGATGACCCTACCTACTGGCATGGCAAGCTCATCGCAGGACTGCTGCTGCCAGGCGAGTAGGCCGGCCAAATTACTGCCTACACCACGTCCTACTCACAGAGATACCCTGTATCATACACGTTATTGTACATTATGCTTATGTAGCACTATTGACGATCCGAAATGAAGCATCATGCAATTATTCAGGCACTTGTTATTCCCCCTCGCACATTGGTATCTCATCATCTTCGTTGCATGCCATCAAGCCGTTCCCTAACGGCTTCCAAACTCGCCATATGCTGCCCAAAAACTTTCATCAAGCAATCCTCCTCCCGCGAACAGATCGAATGAGAAGTCGGTTCGTGGTGACCAGGTCGGTGGAGCGCGGTGCACTGCTGGGGTCGGCTCAGCGTTGACAGCTCTAAATCGTCCTTCGTCATGTCCTGCATTACTGCTCTTCCTCGCTCGATCCAGGCTGCTGACAGCGTCGAAGTACGACTCATCACCATTGCGATCATGT